AGAGAGAGAGAGAGAGAGAGAGAGAGAGAGAGAGAGAGAGAGAGATTTATTAACTTTTCTAATTCTAAAAGTACAAAATACTAAAACTGATCAAATTTGTTGGTAACTATTGCCTCGGATTTGATTTGTTTATTGAAGCCCTTTTCATCTAAAAACAAAGTGGTGTGCTTCAACATTATCCTTTGCGCGCCAACTTTTTATTCCAATATGCATCTTTCCCCGGCTTTAACAATCCATCAGCAGATCTGAGTGGTTAATTTGTTGAACGATGACAACAAGATGACATGATAAACAATTGGTTAATCCTCGATTGGCAATCATCATCGTCGATCATTATCCATTCGCCAAATATCCAATATATGCCTTCTCTTATCCATGCATGACCAACTTTTTTTTCTCTTTCTTCTTTTTCTTTCACTAATCTAATTAATTACCAAAAGGGGTGAAAGGGATATTCTCTATCATTCGAGGAAAAGAGCTAGGCAGTGTGATGTGTACATTCATAATCTAGTCATGAAAGCAATGAGCACATGTATGGTGGGGTATGCATCTGCTAATGTGCAGGAAAGAAAAGTGGTGAAGAATCTCTTTGTAGTTTTCCATCACAAACTTTCACTTTGGTCATCTTGTCTTCACACCAATGCATCTGCTCTTCACTTAGATCTGTAGTTCTCAGAACTCTTGACACCACTTTTAAGTCTATTAGAGCCATCAACACCTCCATCGCATTCTCTTGTTTTGTCCTCCTTTTCCTTAAGCACTTATGCGAGCGCCGTAAATCTATCAACTTCAGCTTCTTCTGCAAGTTTCAAATTAATATAGAAAGAAAAATGTGAAAATCATTGTGCAACTCATTATTACTCAAGAAACTATTTTATAAGTTCACATGAACCCCTTTAAAATGCATATTTTTTGGAAAAATAGAGAGAGCATTGACCTTATGGTTTACTTTCTTGAGCAATAGGAGAACTGTAGGATCCACTGTAGTTCTTGGGTTTTTGATACTAAAGAGACGTGCAAAGATCTGAAAGCGATTCTCCTTGTCAGCCTTGAGAAAACTCATGAATGTCTTGATTGCTTCTTCCATGATTACAAGGAATGAATCTGACGAAATTCTTGAACCCAAATATTCGTCTTTCTTCTCCTCATCAGAATCTACAAAAACCTTGAATATTTAATTCTATAGCAGATCAATGACCCACACACATATAGATTTTTAAAGTAATTATATTTGGGTTTCTAATTACTTTAAATTATTGTCATATGTAACATAATGGTTATGTAACGATAAGTTAATTAAAACAGATGAGTTAAAATTAAATATATAGTACATAATGAAATGAAGTGTACCACGGTATTCTGGGACTTGAAGCAACTTAGGAGCTAAACTTCTCATTCTGGCATAAACAACAGGTCTCCTGCCATTCTCATAAGGCTCGTTCTCAATGTAACGTTGTAAAAGCACTTGGAATTGTTGAAATTGTTGCGCAATGTAAGCAGGACATCCAGGGTCGGAGTCACTACGTGATGCTCTTAGTTGGTGGAAGTAGTTGTAGTTCCAATTAAGAGCTTCCCAAGTCAAGCAAATTTGTGCTACATAAGCGGCTTCTAATTCGTGATACGAATTCTGATAAATATATGATGTTTTCTTATTTCTTGATGCTAATTTATGAATGATTTTATCTGATAACGATGAATGGCACGTTGCTGATGATCTAAACGACTCTGAAATAAAGCCATCATTTCATTAGTCAAAATAAGTGTAGGAATTATTGTGACATTGATTTGTAAAATATGACACTCTTATATGAGAAATATTACTCTAATAAATACTAGGCTAATTTATTTAGGGTTTTTGGATTGCTTATTTAAAAAACAACTTTATATTTGTTTGGATTGACCTTTAATGGATTAAATAAAATCGTAGTGGTATAATATGAACTTTTCAATGAATTCTTTTTAATTATTTTTCAAAATATGTTGCATTTAAATTTGGGATATATACACTAAAGTCTCAATATTTCCATCGATTTGACAGTAAAGTCATAAACTTTATTTTTTTGACAGTAAAGTCCAAATTACCTGCAGTTTTTGACACTTTTACTCTTTTTTCTGGTTAGCCGGCAATTAGGATTTTTTTTTTGTCAAAAAAATAAAGTTTAAGATTTTCTTGTCAAATCGTCAATTAGGACTTTACTGTCAAAAAAATAAAGTTTAGGACATTCTTGTCAAATCGTCAATTAGGACTTTACTGTCAAAAAAATAAAGTTTAGGACATTCTTGTCAAATCGTTGAAAATATTGGGACTTTAGTGGGGACAGATTATACAAACATAAGCAACACATGCCTAGTAAAAAAATGTGTGAATGTGGAGAAGGGAAAGAAGGGCAATTTCGTTTTTTTTTTTTTCAGTTTCTTATTTCTCCATTTTCGGGACTATAAAAAGCGAACAGAACCCTGATTCTTTCTTTCTTTCTTTTTTGATTATCTTCTTTATTTCAAAATCGGTTTGTTGAGATTAAAAAAAAACGATTTAATAAGAAGCAAATGTTAAGGAATTCAATAGGATCTAGCTGACTAGAGAAGGTTTCAATAACTCTTAAGCTTAAAGAGTATCATAACATTAAATTTCTAACCAAAAAATGGATATATATACTAAAGTCTCAATATTTTCAACGATTTAACAATAAAGTCCTAAACTTTATTTTTTTACAGTAAAATCCTAATTAACGATTTGTCAAAAAAGTCCTAAACTTTTTTTTTGACAAAAAATCCTAATTACTGGCTAACCGGAAAAAAGGGTAAAAGTGTCAAAAACTGCCGCTAATTTGGACTTTACTGACAAAAAAATAAAGTTTAGAACTTTCTTGTTAAATCGATGAAAATATTGAGACTTTAACGTATATATCACTTTAACTTTTGTATAGTTCCACTCATAACAGAAAATTAATAGTAAAACTTTTTTAATTTTTCAAATATATGTTGTATTGAACTTTTGTATAATTACATTAACTAATTATAGAAACGTAATGCTATTTTTTTTTTTTAAAATACATTCCATTAAACCGACATATTGATAAAAATTTAACATAAAACCAAGTACACTAAATTTCTTTAAAAAAATCTAGAAAAACCAAATAGGAACAAAAGGAATTATTGAAGAACGGATATCATGTACCCTTTCGAAAAAGAAGGAAGTCTAACTTTACTTACTGAGGAAGGAAACTAAGTTGAGAGAGCGCACCTGTTTCTTGAAGTTTTTGTGCGCTAATTCTATCTAAAAATAACATTTCTTCATCATACTTTTGGAAAACAGTGTAAGACTCCCATTTGGGGCAACTTCTTCGTGATGAAGACGAAAACGGATCGTAACCCGGATCTCTACAATTAATGGAGCTCCGCCATTCAGATGAACTCTTGGAAGTGGATCCGATGGTGTTCGTGTCACCAAAGATTTCTTCTTGATCCTTTTCTTCAAGTTCAAGTTTCTTAGTAACCGAGTTCAATGGTGCTATACTCAAAAGCTTGTCGACTTGGGTTATATTTGATTCCCAATTCTTTCCTTTTTCACGATACTTTTCTGCATTAATAAAATACGAACAATTAACTATTTTTGAATATTCGCATCAAGTTCTTAAATCTTAATGCATGTCTGGGAATCTATAACGATCGATGCATATTCCTTGACCCGAACATACACAAAGACAGTATCACAGTATACCTTCAAATTTGTCGTCATCAAGCACAAAATTAATTTTCTTCGTCACACGCAAAGATGGTTCGTCTCCAACATATCTGAAAGAAGTACAAGCAGACTTTGCACGTGTTGTTATTGCTGGTGTATTCACATCGTATCTAAAAGATTTAGATGTCGATTTTGGACCAACAGCCGATGATATCATCTCTACCACCTCCTCTTCCTCCTCTTGACTACTGTGTTCTTCCGATTCAGATTCCGGTAGGCTATAGAAAGACAAGTCATCACTAATACTAACGCTTCTTTCCTCATCATCTGTTTCGTTTTCTAAAGGCTCACTAACGACCTCTTCATCAAAAACTACGGAGTTTTGACATGAACTTGTTGGACTAGTCTGAAAAAACGAGAGCTCTTCGCCATCTCTGGTTATATCTGCAACCAGATGGCCTTTCTCCGGAGTCTCATTGTAGTAATCCTCATCGCTTACCTCTTCCTCCGAAATTGTTTCATATTCATATTCTTCATCGTTTCTGCATAGAGATAAACACAAACATCAGTCATGTGTTTTTAAAGAACCTAAAATCCTTAACTTTCCGTAAGTTAGTAAAACATGATGAAATCAGCAGCAAAGACTTCATATGTCCATAGGTTATCACGTGCAAATTCAATCCAACTGAGTCGTGTTTCAACTAAACTGCTAAAACCGAATGCATGGTTTAGAGTTTCACTTAAAGAAGAAAAGATTATTATTACCTTGGGAGGAACGGGATTGAAGAAATGAAGAACAAGAACTTAGAAAGGAAAATGGAGGTGAGGTAGAAGAAGAGGAAAAGAAGCTGAAAAGAACTGGAGGCATTGTAGAACAAACGAACAATGGTTTCTTTTGAACATTGCATGTTTGTTGAAGGAACGAGAAAGAGTCTATCTTCTACAAAGATCACCTCACTAGTAAAGGAGTCTCTCTCTGTCTAATACATCAAAAAGCAAAGTTGGTGTTTATTGAACCCCTTTTCATCTAAAAACAAAGTTGGTGTGCTTCACTTTATCCTTAGCGTGTATCATGTCGCCAACTTTTTATTCCAATATGCATCTTTCCCCAGCTTTAACTTTTGATTCACCTCCTAATTCCTCTTCTACAGTTCTATAAACATTAATCTTCAAAAGATAAATATAAAAGAAAAAAAAAGCAAACCTCCTCCGGTATCATCTTTATCCTTATGTTCCCGCGCCACTACACGTAATATTAAATACAACAGTTTAATAATGCCATCTCTTTTTTATTTTTTATAATTCAATAAATCCGATCAATTAAGCAAATCATATAGATTCAATATATGTTCTAACATATTGATTGATTTATTGTATTACAATAGTATAATAACATAGTAAAACAATACGATTCAATATTTACTCAACATCCATATCAACTATATATCACGCCGAAGCCAGTTGAATGATCATGTTAACTTATTGTAATTATTAATTAATAATCCAATTGGAGATTTGAGTGATTAATAATCGATCCATCGTTATTTATCCTCAATTGGCAATCATCATCGCTATCTTTATCCATTCGCCCAATATCCCTCATTGCATATATATGCCAGCATGACCAGTTTTTTTTTTTTTTTTTTTTTTTCTTTCGCTAATGTATCTAATTACCAAAAGGGTTAAAAGGGATATTCTCTATCATTCAAGGGAAAGAGCTAGGCAGTGTGATGTGTACATTCATAATCTAGTCATGAAAGCAATAAGCACCTGTTGCTAATGTGCAGGAAAGAAAAGTGGTGAAGAATCTCTTTTATAGTTTTCAATCAAAAATTTTCACTTTGGTCATCTTTCTTCACACAAATGCATCTCCTTCTGTTCTTCACTTCTCATATATATATATATATATATATATATATATAT